CATCTCGGCGGCCAGCTCCCAAAGGCCACTGGCTTCCACGACTGCCCACCACCGGTGCCCCCGCATAATAGGTCGTAAGAGATCAATAGCTGCTGATGTGGTAGCCTCGAGGACCACCGACTTAACTTCGCTCGAGAGGCTCAGTTTCCTGGCGATGATCTCACAGGTGTTACCGGCCCGTACGGCCAAAGCGGCCGTAAGGGAGTCCCTCAGGCAGTACTGGGGGTCCAAGAAGGCATTACATAGCAGCTGGACCAGTACCTCCAACGAGCCCTCAGGGACGTCACTAGTGGCCACGAGGTCCAGGACCGACCAGAGCTCCATAAATTTATGTGGTAACCGTTGGGCAGTTCTCGAGAACAATATGGCCTTCGTCGAGCTCGGCTGGTGACACTCATCGCAAGACTCATCTCTGGCCCTAGCCTCGACAACAGGACCCTTGAGGGCTTCAGGCAGGCGTCGGTAGCGAGCCTCCCAAGACGCTGATGAACCAGTCTTACCCCAGAGAAGTTGGGCACATCGTCCTCGGGAAGCAACCTCACAAAGACCAGCACTCACACCGTTCCTCCCTGCACTTGAAGCCACTGCCTCTCGCTTGGTGGGGTCCGATAGCATAGTGGGAATCCATACGTCCTTGAAGGGGAGGGCCGACTGGAGGTAGGTAGAAGGGCGAGTTATGGTGGCCATGACCAACAAGGCAAGGACGATGACGTCATCACAGCGAAAGGCTGCCAAGGTCTGCGGCTCTTTGATAAGCTCTGCCAAGTTGAGAGGCAGCAGCACACTAGGCTCCTCCGATGTTAGTGACTCCTCCACCAAAGTGTCCGCTATGTAAGCTACCAATTGCCATCCTCGGGACCACAGTTTCGTGTCCTTATCAGTAGCACCCAGACGGAGGAGCTCAACCAAGGCGTTAGCACATGCCGCATGGACCTCCCCCTCCCTACCAGCCAGGCGGGGCTGAATGAAGTCCAATATGGCGAGACTAGGCGTATCGAACTCCTCAATTGTCATCAGAGTGTGGTACTTGCTAGCAATAGAGACGGAGCCCTCCAGGACCAGGACGCAGGTCTCGCTCCATTGCTTCTGAACAGAGTCCCTTGAATGGTGTACGATGAGACCCTCCGAAGACCCCCGGTTGGAACGGTCGTCCTCTTGTGAGCCGTTGAGGGTAGTGGCAGTAGTGCTCGCTGTGACCACCTCAGCGAGGGTATCGCACATGACTCCAACCGCAGAGGCGGCATGGACCTCCGGACATCCGCAAGCAGCATTGAGCATCGAGACCATGGTCCTTATAGCACAGTGCCTCACGGCCGGCCTCGGGTCCAATGATGCACTCTTGAACTTGGTGAGGAGATCGAACCAGAGGCGACCACTCTCTTGGGGATCGAAAGCGATAGGCTCAGCGTTGGCAGGATTGCCATCACCAGTACTGCTCCCAGTGCTGTAGTGACGACGACTGTGGTCAGAAACCCCGCCTCCTCTGCCACCGGACATGCGGCTCATCAACGCATCAGAGACGTTCCAGAGTAGACCCAAGGCCTTCAAGGAGGTATTGATGACACTGTTGGTGCTGAGACGTTGGAGGCCGTCAATGAGCAGGGCCAAGCTAGAGTTGGGCAGAACGTCTATGCATTCCATGACCAGCACTTCGAGTAAGGAGTAGACCGACAAGTGCAACTGGTTCACCATCAACTGGCTCGATCGCTTACCGATCGATGAAGCTTGTGATGCTGCGACGACCGTGGGCACATCACAGAGATCACGGACGAGTTCACTGAGGCACACCCAACCTTCCGTGTCGAGCTTGGTGGCAACAGGAGAGTGTACCATGAGATCCTTAAGGATGGACACGACGGTCTCAGGGGCAGAGGTGGTGAAGGCCTTGAGGGGCTCAATAAGACCCTTAACGCAGCACCCTTGATGGGATATGTGCCCGACGAGGACCTTGCCGATGCAGACCGCGGCTTCCTCTGGATGAATACTCGTCTCGAGGGCAGGAGTAACGATAGTAGTCAGGACCAAGTCCAGTCGCCTCGGCTCTGCTGATGTTAATGCCATTGCTAGCCTCTCTAGTGACCAACAAGTGTCTCTGTGGACCAGGGCATCTACCATGTCTACGAAGGACCCGTCCGCTTCCGGAGAGGTCGAGAAGAGCGAGTCCATTGACACGGCGAGCATTTGGCACTCGAGACCACTATCAGAGTTCGCTGCACTCGACTGCTGTTCTGGGCTGATGAATCGAAGGCAGAGGGTCTCGAAGGTCTTCAGAGCCAGAGTCCAGCCCGGCACCGACAGCCTTTCACCACTTCTGTGGCAGATGTTGAGGAAGCCTTTAGCACATGTGGCGGTGTGACAGTCCAGCCTGAGTGCATCTTTACGAGGGAGGGACTCCTTCGCCAAAGCCTCGAGGCAGCTGTCTCGACCACTGCTGAGCTGGGGGTATTTAGAACACTGTAGAAGTAACCGTTCAAGGGCACTGAGGACACTCTGGAGGAAGATGTCGAACGCTTCGTCGTCATCAGTCATCATAGTAGTTTCATCGCTCATCTGACTACTAGACTTAGGTAAGCGCACACTGAGCAGAAGACTGAGTGATGATAGTAGAGGAGCCCATGAACAGGCTAGCATATCGCGAGACTCGATGTGGTCCACCAAGAGGAGTATGGTATCAGCCGCCAATGCCGCCCCAAAGGACGGGTTCACAGAGGAAGGAGGGTCCGAGTCGGCCAGGCAGTCGAGTAGGGACACCCGGCCCTCACCGGCAAAGACATGGGAAACTCCCAGAGTGAGGAGGTCACTGCCAGTGGTGGGTGTGGACAGTTCAGCATCCTCGAGGAGAGTGGACATCTTCATCATCCTGCTGTCGGTGGTATCAAGAGGGGTTGGCACTGATGCAAACCATAGATGATGTAGCACATGACTGAGGCTGTTGACAAGCTCGACGAATCTATTGGACTTGGGGTCAGTCGGGAGGTCACGGCGACCTGTTGGGGCGGCCGATGCTGGACTGCTGTCGCTGTCGTTCACAGTGGCATCCAACGGTGAGGAAGTGAACGCACTATCTGATGATGAGCCCAGGAAGAGGACAGTGAGGAAGCCATTGGAGGAGTCATCGGACTGTAATATCTTCTTGAAGGTCTCAAGAACAGCCGATCTGGCCCACAGTGGACGATCGTGTCGCAGCAGTAGTTGACGCAGCATCAACGGTACGAGGCCCCGAGCTGGTCCGTGGACCAATTTTTCCCCCGATGGCGAAGGGTCGCCACAGATCTCGCGGGCCAGTTGTGAGCAAAGAGGCGGGTATGAACAGAGTCGATAGACGATTCTCAATGCACGAATAAGAACCTGTTGGTGGCGCGTGGTCATTGTGGTATGTTGAGAAGCCTCGTCTTACTTTGAAATCATATTGGCAAACAGCAATAGTACTTTCCACTGTGGGGACGAGGACTTCTCGAGCGAGTTCTGTGAAGTCCGGTAAGGAAGCGAAAATGTCCGCTTGGGCAGCAAGGGCACCTTTTAAACAACGTGTGTAGGAAAACCATCGCCCTTGATTGCACATTGATAGTCTTTTGTAATGGTGATTCATGGACTCAACAAAACGCCTACTTTCGATAAGCTCTAGGGCGAGAGTTCGCGATATGGCCAACTCGCCCAACCATTTCCCTCTTGAGGCCCTCCCCATTGAAATAAGACACAGGTCGTGGACAAAGAGGAACAGTAGTCGTAGTGGACCTGATGACCAATATAAGCCCTTACCTGTAGTGTGCTGCTCTAGGGGCCGTAGTATTACCACTAGGGAGTCTATCGGGTACTGCCATTGCCTCTACCATTAACGACCCAGTATGGCCCTTGGTACGCCCACTACTGCGGCCCCCCAAGTTCTCGAAGGCCTCTTTAGACAAACTATGATAAGCCTTACCGGCTTCATCAACAAGGAAATCAGCGACTTGCCGTAGACACGCAACGGCAGTGTGCCGAACAAGACTTGAATCACTACCGAGTAAAATAACACAGGACGATAGCAATCGTTCCATTAGGAGCTCAGAGCTTGTCAATAAAGGAGCAAAGGGAGGTGTTAACAGCAATAGGATAGTTTGCAGTGCTTTCACTTGAACGGTTGGGTCAGTGTCATTGGCTCGATCGTGCAAATACGTCACCACAGTGGCGAGGCGTTTAGTAGTGTTCACAAGTTGCCCCATAATGAGCCTTTGAATGCAGCCAAGACAGGGGAGGATCAATCGCGAGTTGTGGGTTTCCGAAGCCACTATCACCACTGCGAGGACTTCCTCTACAGGGACTTCATCACTCGCGATCAACTTAGCGATCACTCGTTCTGAATGCTCCTTAATCTGACTGTATTTCTTTCGAGATTCGACACATATAATGCGAAGTTCAGCCTCAATGTCACGGACCACACTCTCCCTCGGCGATGAAGACGATGTTGCCTCAGGATGGGCAGGCGAACTAGATGATGATGATGATGGTGCCATCCAAAAAGAGACGAGACGCCAAAAAAACGGGCAAGCGAGAATCTACTACAGCGGAGCGAAGCGTTTCACGTTGTGAAGTTTTCAACAGCGGTGTTTTTAATAGGGGGAAGAAAACTCAAAGCAGATACGCCTTTGAAGCGATCGCACAGGCGTTCAAATATACCCATACAGTTGTAGAATGGGAATAGATAATCATGTGGTGATAGGCAGAAATTTATCCTCCTCCAAAGCATCTAGGCGATCGCGTTCGATCTTCTCTCGAATGCGCTCCTCCATTTCGCGTGATGTGAACGCTGGTCGAAATTGGGTCAGCTGAACGAGTTCATGTGGGTACTGTTGCACACGACCGTTGAGATCATACATTCTTAACACGAACGTCTCGTTCAGGGTAGGTCAGATTGGCCTCTTCCTCGCATCGTTTGAAGGCCTAAGCAGTTGTCACCACCACAAAGATGAGAGCTCCTACCGCCATAATGCTCGAGTGACATTCCTGTATCGGTTTCTCCGGTACGAATACGTCCAGAATTTCATTACAACGACTGAAAAACGAAGCTCAGTGAGAAGGTCTACCGTACTCACCGTATGCTTTGGTTCAATGCTTGATAGAAGGAGAGTAGACCAGAATTACTCGGACGATCCGCTGAATACTAAAAGGACCACTAGACACCAACGCGGCAATGACCAAACCCACGAATAGACATGTTTGATTTATAGTTCGCCATGTCCCTCTTATTTGACGTAGGTCACCTCTCTGAGAAGACCAACAACTGCTATCACCACCACCATGGGCATCCTTTACCGAGATCAGGCCCGCATCTTTAGGCGATCTAGCATCCTCCTGAACCTCTGGATACCTCACTGGTGGCTTCATAAAGCTGCCTCCTACCACCATTACCAGCAATTACATCTACTACTATAACTACTACCACCAACGGACATACACCACGCCACAACACAACAGCCAACCCCTAGGGTAAGTGACATCATGCTATCATGCAAAACCTAACCCGAGTGGTGGACAGGTTGTGTATCCTCCCAACGCGCTCTTTGGTCCATGAGGGCAAACTGTGCAGCCGCCAGACGAACCACGCTCGCCCTCCTAAGACGATAAGACATCGACTTCACTACCGTCAAAGTCGTAGTGTGAAAATACGCATCATCAACTATATTGTCGAGGAACTCGCAATTCCCTAGTTCGTAGCACAGCTGATTAACAGGGACAGGGGTCACCTCCTATGTTGGTGACAACATGAAAATTCTGGAGAAATTTTGGGAAATTCTGGTTGATTCCTGTACATTTCTACCCTACTTAGTATACAAACTCCTATAATTAGTGAGGAAACTCCTAGGGCCAGCTGAGGGAAGCGAACACTGCTTATAAGTGCCATTGATTTAAGTGGATACAGTACCCTCACAGACGTATGTACATTTACACGACTACAGACAGCAGACACCATAGTGCAGCATACAGAAGTTACCCACCGTCCGCATATTCCTAATCGAGTCATCGCGCGGCAACCGAGATCTAACATGGCTGAACTATGATCTAGCGTATTCAAGTCAAGCAATGGAAGGACAATACAGTTCTGCCCAGGTATTAAAGTGAATAGACATTACTGCCCATCAACGATGCATCCAATGCCTACAGTTCGTATGTTGATCTGCATTCCCTATCAAAGCGATAATCATCGGCTTGGTAGTCCATCCGAGAGTGTATGATACCGTCATCGATCGCCGGCCGATCACCATACTGCCATGCCACGTTGGTCCTAAAGGGCCACCACCATCACCATCGGCAAATCCCCACTAACACGGAAGAAACTGAATCTCCATAGGGTACCCCACTAGTGATACAACTGATGACCGTCGATTTACCTCGGGTAAAAACGCCCGATTCAACCTGTTGATGCAGCGACAATTCAACTGCGTCACTACCACATAAAAGTGAGCGTATCAATAACATCTACGACTTGGTCATAGTGTCACTGGGAGTTCCACAGCAACTCACATGCGTCTTAGAGCTGCATCCCACATTTGCCTCCACTCCCGAAGCATGATCTCCTCCTCATTCACAGTGGATATAGTAACCCTCTCAGGAGGGGCCTCCATATCGATCAAGCCTACCATCACAGATGCCCAAAGGCCCCCCAACACATACACGCCCAAGTACCCCGCATCCACTGGTCCGCAAGGCTAGCTAGAGTTACCACTTTCTGTGGCAGTAGGCAACCTACACAATCCATTCCTGTATTCTGAGATACTCTCACCTTGGTGCGGTATGAGCTTCCTCAAAAAAACGTCACAAAAATGAGTACAATTCCTATGGAGCAGATCGTAGGAAGAACCAGGCCAGTCGCCCTTCAACTCTTCCAGTATTTGAATGACCTCAGTGACTGGTAATCGACAACGCTCCACTGGCAGACACTCTCGATAGGTCCCGATGGAGCCTACCAGAATGGAGCATCCGAACTACGGCTCAACCTGGCTCACTAGAGGTCGGTGGGACAGCAAATACACCACATCCATACTGACAGTAACCATAACTCCATTCAACGCCATATACCTACGCCCAACGACAACAAGGTCAATAAAAACAACAGGTCACCTCCTCTGGAGACATACCACACCATCATTACTTCCACTGCTGCATGAAAAGCTCCACCAACACCCACTACCTCCGACAACACCGTATTCACTGATGGAGCCGTCAAATCGTAACTGTGACGCCCCCATAACCCCAAGGCCGCCCTTCACCTACAGATGAATCGTTACTGGCGTTCCCAATGTAGACATAGAGCACTGATGCACAGGCATCGCCACAGATGAGTACTCCAACTCAATAACTTCTCTGGTGACACTAATTTTGAAACTCGCTTGACACAGTATAAATGAAACCGTCCACCGCTACCCTCCCCCTCCACTGCCTTGGCTACCGTTCTGCTCTCGAGCCAAGAAGCGATCAATAGTGCCAGTAATGCTACCCAGGTCGTTACGCACCTTCACCAGGGCGTCCATCGAATGGCTCTCGTGGGCCAACTGAGGACCACCTCTGGCAGATATCAACACCATATTATCGCTTACCCTAGTGCTATAATGGTGCTCCTGCTTGGTCAGCAATGCGAATAGGCGGCGAGCTTGGTAGGTCAGAACGAAGACACAATGGTTCCTACCAAGGACGGTGGTCTGAAGAGAGCCAACCATTGAGACACCACCTAACGTTATCATCGATAGGCTTCTTCAACTTGGCCGAGGTGAGGAGGTAGTGGCTGATGGCCTCAACTGTATGCATCACTGTTTTAGCCTTAGACATTATATCCGACGGATGCGGTGTTGATGGATCACCTAATATTATGTCGCGCGCCACGAAATTCCCCTCTGGTAGTACTCAGTTTCCCCACCAACAGAGTAGGCATCCTTTTGACATACTGTTTCCCAAGTCCACACTGACAAGCTTCTCGTCCACGGCGACTACCGTACCATAATGCAGTCTATTCTCACTTCGTGGTATATAACTATCTCCCCCGGCTGAGACATGCAGAAAAAATTGAAGGTGTAAAAGTTGCATAAACTGCACGTCTGGATGAGCCCGTCCACCTCCCTACAGTGAACTTAGATTTCCAATCCATCATCATCATCTCCTTGTCCTCCCTCTCAGCCTCCTTCCCCGGTAGCTTATCCGTGTGATTATGGCCAATCGTAGAGCTGCCACGACCCACTGACAACCGCCGTCCGCCATCCTCAGGGTTGTCGAAGAGCTGTGCAGGTCAAAACTTTCCTTACCATGCGAAAGGGCACCTACCAGAGACATCGAGAGTTGGTCGTGGTTACTGTGGCCTTCATCAGAGGTGTCCGGGGTATGCTTGGCCGCCTTGGCCGAGGGTGGACCACCCAAGAGGGTCTTGCACTTGGTCTAAGGATCGAACCCAATCTCCATATAGGCATATTCCAACACCTTACCACAGACTCTCTACGACGCTTGGCTGTCGATCGTATAGGAGGTGTCCCCTCGTTCGCCCCACTATGGCCATTACGAACCAAAGCCGCCTAAGGCAAGACCCCTTCTTATTTAATGGTACCGTAAACCGGTGAAGACCTTCTCGATCAGCCGATACCCCCGTTACCTGTGCAGAGGCCTGTGATATCCTTTCCTGATCATCTCTGGACAAGGCTATGGTCCTCGACCCAGCACTAGGGTCATACCCACCATTGGGACCTACGACCCATCATCAACCCATCAGGAAGAGGGGGACCTACCTAGTGAAGGCACAGCTGCTTGCGTGGCGGCCATGGGCGTGCCGACACTCTTCCGTCGTAGATTAATCCGAGCTTTCATTGGAGGGGCAATCAAACTGATCACGATCCAATTACCTTCTACATAGCATCTCCGTCCTGCACACGCGTATTCAAATATGCTCTCGGGCGCGCGCGTAGTTTTGTGGCGAGTGAGGGTCTAAATCAGCTGACATTGTAGAGTTGACAACAAAGTTTTACAGTATGGCTGCTGCTGTTGCCATAGACAAAGCGGAGGTAGTCGACTCGGTCCTCGCTCTGCTGCTATCCTCAAGGATCCTGCCTTAGATAGCGATGTTGGCCCTTGGGTTCACGCCTACCGACGAGATCGTTAAGGCCCGAGACCAACTTGGGATAAAGACCCAAGGTAGTGGTAGTAGTAGTAATAGGGTAGTAAGCATATCTCAGATGAGTTTATGAAGTGGGCTAGAGGGACCTTGGAGGCTGCTGCTGTTGATGCTCTGAAGGTTGGGGATTTGGGAGGTAGGACACTGGGTACGGCTACTAACAAGTATTTCATCGTACCATTACCTTTCTCTTTGTATACCACACTTCTGCCAGAAATACTCAGAGTTGCCTCTCTGACCGACTCTGTCTGTCGAATACCTTCCTTCTCTGCACTTAGCGTTTGAGAGGAGAGTAACCCAACTCCGCCGATATTATTTCGAGAATCCAGACAGTCACACTGCCTCCCCCAACACGGCCACCATCATGGGCCTCTACCTCCTATTCCTATTGGTACTACTGCTACTACTACCATCATGCACACAATCATCATGCCTCAGAGTGCTGACCGTACTGGGGAGTTCCACACCGAGCTGGAGCAGTTGCCTGAGGCCCTCACCAAGACCCCTCAGTGCCAGCTACCAGTACCACGCCCTTCGCTGAGGGAGGCTGCGCACCTTGGTGTCTGTTAGGTTGCTGTCGAGAGGTGCATCATGGAGGGTAACGGTACCAAGCTGAAGGCTTGTGTGTCACAGGCGGCCAAGGATCTGCCTCATTCAGAGCTCTTACTGCAGAGTGTGGTAAACCAGGTTCGGTAATAACTGTGTCCATCGCGATGGTAGTCTTTGTGATAGTAGTCCTACGTTCAGGATTAAAATTGCCTCTTCCTTGGAGAGAGCCTACACGTCGCTGAACTCGAAGACGGCTTGTAGGATGCTGCTGATGGACCCCAAGGATAGGAAGTCGCTGGAGCTGTTCGCCAAGGCTGAGAATGACAGGAAGGCTGCTGATGAGGGTAGTGGTGGGGCAGGGTTCTGTTGGACTATGCTTTGCCTCAGCCAACTTATCAACACTGGAATTGGAGGATCCATCGACTCCAGCTCAAGCTAGACTGAGGAACAGGCTGAGTACTCGTTGGGTTGTAGAGGGTGACAGGTAATTGAGAGGACGATGTGGCGATGGTGTGGTATGGTAATTATTCAGACTTGTTTTCAAGAAGATACGTGATGATGCCTCAGCCATGCCTGCATTGGACCTGATATCCAATATGATAGGTAGGACTGGTTGCCGTTACTAAGGCTGAATGTTCCCCTCTTCCCTACAGGTTATGCCACGGACCTAGAGCGTATCGTGTAGGGTAGTATACTGTGCATCGTCGTCGTCGTTGGTGGTGGTATTGACTGTTTCCACTATGTTACTGTTGTATTCATGACGTTAATGGAGAGGAGATGTTGGGGTTCACTATTCTTCTCTTTGTAGTGGCTGTAGACTGTATGGAGGGATGCCCACTTATGTGTATTAC